AATGACCCCACTTTGAAAAACCATAGAATGACAAATACCAATAATTGTGTTACTTTAGCGGGTTTGGTGAAAGTTGGGTTTTCGTTTTTATTTGAATTTTTGGATGAGTTTGAATTTTATTGTTTTTTTGTGTTTGAATTTGGTTGGAGTTTGGGGAGTTCTGATGTGTATTAATTTGATGGATAATAAATAAAATAATATAAATATGTATTAAATTTAATTGATAAAATTTATATTATATGATTTGATTATGAATTTATATTATACCAAACATATATATATTTAAATTTTTATTTATTTGTATTATAAACAATTTTATTCTCTATAAAATAATATATATATATTGTATATTTTTTTTCATTTAATTATAATAAATATTAAATAAAATTTTAATATATATATATTTTTTAAAAAAATGGTTTTGCACAGTAAGATGGGGTTAAAACTCCAGGAAAAGGCTTCACAGATTAAATTATATTGTCACCAAAAAGTGGAATGCTACAACACGTAAAAAGCTCGCTCTTCTTTTTAGAAATGTCGCTATCCAAATTTCACAAAATTATGGTAATAAAATTAGGCCTCACTTAGATAGAAAATTTGAAAATTAAAAAAATAAATAAATAAATTTAAGATATATGGTATTTTTTAAGATGGAAAAAATTACTATTAAATAATACAAAAATTCTAAAATAAAAATTTATTTGTTTGCAATTTAAAATTAATTTTTTAAAAATATACTCTCTCAATTCCAGTTAATTTGTCTGATTTACCTTAGATACAGAATTTTAGGTATTATATAATTAGTGAGTAATTAATAAATATATTAGTGAAAATAATTATAGATTAAAATTTAGATTACTAAATAGTTTAATTAAAATAAAAAAATTATAAATTATAAATTTTAAAATGTGATTAAAGTGTATAATTGTATTCCAAAATAAGAAAAGACAAATTATGTGGGATAGACAAAAATATAAAAAGTAGATAAATTAAATGGGACAAAAGAGTCGTTTTTAATGTGATTTTTATGAAAATAATAATATTTTATGTTATACTCCCTCCGTCCGGCTAGAAAGTATACATGTTTCTATTTTGGGACGTCCAATTACAAAGTAAACATTTCATTAAATACCTTACTTTTTTCTACAAATACTCCTACTTTACATCACATCATTACTTTTACACCAAAAAATAAGGACAAAAATGTCATTACACTACTTTTAACTACTCATTATAATTAAAATACTATTATTTTTTAAACACCGCGTCAAAAGTAATTGTATACGTTTTTTGTGGACGGAGGGAGTATGAAAAATTGAATAATGCTAAAAATTTCAAATTACTATATAAAATGACACACTTTGGACAAAAAAATATGATATATTCATTTATCATGATTTTTTATAAAAAAAGATTATTTTTTTTATTATTATTTTTTAAAAATCATATTTAATGACATTAAAAAAAAAAAAAAACGAATTAAATCGAATTTTAGGCACTAATTAAGCAAGAGGATAAGATGGAAAGGCAAGTTGGAAGTGCAGGGTCATCTAAATGTACAAATAATTTTGATTTGATCTTATTTTTGGACTCTTTTGTCTTCACTTACTTGGCCAAGAACATGTCAAGTGTGCTGTTATATATTTAAACAAATATTTTAAATTAATTTTTCTATTTATTAATTTTTTTAAATACTAATATATACTCTTTGGTCCGGTGGTAAATTTTTCTTTTTATTTTTTTACGTCGGAGTAAAGTTAATTAGTATTTTATAAACACGTAGTGTAATGAAATAATATAATATTTATTTTACCTTTGAAAAATAAAAAGTAAAGAAATTTTGGTACTTAGTTAATAATTGCATTTTCAAAAACTAAATAAAAAGTTTTAATTTGAGTATTTCTACTGCTTTTTACCTCCACATCACTTTTATCTCTCGTGGATACTTTCTTTTATTTTATATTTACAACAAAGATATTTATTATAATTTTTTAATTAATTTTTATTCCTATGTTTATATATATACATATATTATTTTTTATTTTGTAATTATTATTATTATTATTTAATTATGTTTGAATAATTAACTATAAATTAAATACTATTTTATTGTTTAATATATATTTTTTATATTGAATTGTGTTAAGAAAAATAATTATATTTTATTTAATACTAAATTATGTATTTTAATAATATTGACTTGTTTAACAAAATTAAATAAAAATTTACATTCATATATTTAAAAATTTAAATTAATAAAAATATATTTAATATTAATATTATTTTGTAGGATATAAAATTTCATGAATTATAAAAATATTACAAAATTTAAATATAATAATAAATTTAATATATATTACAAAAACTATTATAATATGTCCTAAATTAATTGAGATACATGCCATAAATGTGAAATCTCTCTCGTTTCTTGCAAAGCATCTTGAGAATTTATATTTTCTGTTTTCTTATTTTCTTTTTAAAAAAGTGATGATGCGCATGCTGATGTACTTAGTTAAGGGGTGGACACGGTTCAGATATTTGTAAATATATAGGTATTTGATATTCGAATCGAATCGAATAAATACTCGAAATCGTGAACCATCCGAAATTTTCGGTTAACCGAAAATATTTGCAATATTTGCAAATAATTTGAACCGAATCGAAATTAAAAATAATATATTAAAAAATAATTAAAATTCTAATTAAATCAAAATATTTGCAAATATTTCAAATATCCGAACCGAAATCGAACTGTAACTGAATCACCGAATCGAATATAATTATTAATATAAATTTTAAAATATAATAATATAAATATATAAATATATTTGGTTCGGTTAACTGAATCGAAAAAAAATATCAAAAATTGAAACTAAACCGAACAGAGCAAATATCAAATATGCAGTATTTGTATTCGAATCAAATTTGTTCGGTTAACCGAAAATTCAATTCGATTCAGTTCAGTCAACGGTTCGGCGGTTCGGTTCGATTTTTTTGCCCACCCATGATCTTAGTCTCTCTGTTTTGTATATTATATCACGGTTGTCATTTTTGTATGTTTTACATTCTATATCATTTTTTAAAAAATGTATTTACATTTTTTAATTATATTTTAAATTTTATAATTTATAATTTTATAATCTTATTAGACTAATTAATTATTTTAAATTTAATTTATTGTATTGTACTATAATTAATTTTATTAATAATTAATAATTATATATTAATTACACTATTTCTAAATTTTCATATCTACGGCGCTTGTGACATTATATGCAGAATGAATATATTTTAAAAAATAATATTATTCAATTAACTAAAAATTTATTTAACAAGGAAAGAATTACGGGTTGATTGTACATTAAAAATAGGCATATATTACATGATTTCAATTGAAATCATGTGTCGATAATTTATATTTTAGAAGTGTGTTGCTATATATTGTGTAGTCTATTATCATCGTGTATTATCAATTTATGTATACTACACATTTATATTTTAGTATGTTGTCTATATATGTACTGTAAATTTATGTTTGTGTTCATATGAATGTAGTATTGTTGGTTCATATGTATTGTTTATTTATATTTTCATGTAAACTAAATTATTATTATTATTATTATTATTATTATTATTATGTACCAATACGACGTCAAAAAGAATACTTTAAATAAAAAATACTCCCTCCGTCCAGCTAAAAAGTATACATATTTCTATTTTGGGACGTCCAATTACAAAGTAACCATTTTATTAAATACCCTATTTTTTTCACAAATACCCATATTTTACATCACATCATTATTTTTATACCAAAAAAGTAAGAGAAAAATATTATTTCATTACTTTTACCTACTCACTATAATTAAAATACTATTATTCCTTAATCTCCGCGCCAAAAGTAAATATATACTTTTAGCTTGGACGGAGGGAGTATAAAACAAAACGGCCAATATTTAAAAATTTAAAATATATTAATGATTGTGAACCGAATTTTCCTGAAAGTGTGTTTCTTTCGATTGAGCGTTTCTCGAATTTAAAATTTTTATTAGCGCTTAAAAAAATATATTATTTTAATATAAATTTATATTACTCTATCCGTTCCAAAATTAAATATTCATTTGCTTTTTATACGTAGTTTTATAAATATTAGTATTATATTAGGATGCAGTAGGAATAAAGTAGAAATAATTAAAATAATCTTATTAGTATGTGTAATATAAAAGTAATGATATTTGTGTAATATATATTATAATGTTAGGTAGATAGTACAGTTACTAAAAAAAGAAATGGATACTTTGTTATCGGACGGACTAAAATAAAAAAAATGAATATTTTATTATGAAACGGAGGGAGTAAAATATTCCAAAAAATTCAAAATCCAAATTATAAATAGAAACTTATTTTCTTAGAGTGTTTTTCTTTTAATAAGTTTGAAAAAAAAAATAATTTGAATTTGATATAAAAATAATATTTGATAAAATATTTTATAAAATAAAAAAAATATTTTTTCTGGAAAACGCATACTGAAAATAGCACGCGACGCACAGCGGATATAATCAACGGTGGGGATGCAATAGACGGAGGACCAGATTGACGGAAGACGTAACGGTGCCGTTAGTCTTGAAGAGAAGTGAAAATTGCATCCAATTATGTATACTGTATAGCGAGTTAGTTGCGTTAACGGAAACCTGACGGTGACAGACTGATAGGCGTGCGTGGATCTGACGTGGCAGTCAACTGACGGCTAGGATGTGGTCAAGAAACCCTCTTTTCCACCGTTGGATTTAACTCTTTGTAGAAACCTGCAACAAGAAAAAAAAGATGCATAGCGGTTACTGCATATTCTGGTGTCGTCATCTTCACCATCACCACCCACGCTGCTTTTACGCTTCATGTGGCTCTCCGCTGCTATAAATACCTGCAATCCTCACCGCTGCTTCTGCACTCTTGCGTCTCGTCTCTCCTCTTCTTCAGGTGAAGGCCTCGTGCGTGCGGTATGCGCTTTTGATTAATAATTTCTGCATTTTTAATTTTACTAGCAGCGATTGTGTGTTGGTGGTGTTTGGAAACGATTTTTTGTGCATTTCAGTGAATTTGTAGTGTTTGGAAACGGATTTTTTAATATATCGGTGAATTTATGGTGTTTGGAAACGATTTTTTTTTTTGCATTTTCAGTGAATTTGTGGTGTTTGGATACGGATTTTTTTTAATATATCGGTGAATTTATGGTGTTTGGAAACGATTCTTTTTTTTGCATTTTCAGTGAATTTGTGGTGTTTGGAATCGATGGCTTTAGTTCTATAACTTGTATTGCGTGCCATTTTTTGATTTTGGAAGTTATGGATTGCTTCATCGCTCTGTGTGATGCAATTTATTGTTTGGAGTTGTTGATTCTCGATTTGAAGCGGATCCTTGCTTTGATTTGCATTTGTATATGTAACTATGGACACGCCGTACACTAATGCCGGCCGGACGGTGATGAAAGCATGTTTTCCGGCGTTCTACGGCGTCGGTCGAGCGCCGGAAGACGGTCAAGGTACGGTCGGGCTAGTAGTTTTAGAATAGTGAAGCCCGTGGGCCGTACCGGAGGATAACCATTGGTAGATAGATATTTCCTCTATCCAATTGGTGCTATTGTGGGCCCGAATATCATTTCGGCCCGACTTAATACAGAAATTGCCATGTGCAGAGACATGTGGGATTTACGTACAATAAGTGGAGACAAAATTATGCTAAAAATCTTTAACTATTATATAATCCCTCAGATAAAAATATACTTCCCCCCTCCGTCTCACGTCCTATAATATAAATAATTATAAATTAATATTAAAATAATTAATTATTTTAAATGAGATTAAAATGTATAATCACAATGACATGTGGTATATGGGACGGAGAGAATAATAATATTATTTTGTATTTTGTATTTTGTTTAGGAGTAACATTAGAATTTTTTTTTAGTTAGTAATCTAGTTTTAGATTAAATAAATTGATTGTAAGAAATATATAATAAATGGAAACTAGGATTTGTACAAATCTAAAATTGACTTAAAAACTTTTTTCTAAATATGTATGAACACCCTAAAACAAACTAAAATGGTAAGATAAAAGACTTGTGATCGTAAAGTCATGAGTTCAAAGACCTGATACCTCAGGTAATTTATTACACATGGTTTGCTAGTGTAAGATAAATACATTTTTTTGTGGATAAAAGAAGTATAAATACCATTTTGCAAAGACATGCACAAATAAGGATTAAGTAGAATTGAAAAATTTTCTTCCCGGGTACAACATCTTGATACAAATTTGACACAAAATAATTAAATTTGAATTAATTTTTTTTTATCTAATTATGTATATTGGTTCATGCGAAAATTTGTTTATAATATATTAATATTAATAAATGTATTTATTATATATGCAAAATAATATTAATTTTTGTTTTTCAAAAAATAATTATTTGATGGAGGAATATTTATGCTTTCTTGTTTATTGAATTAGTTTTGTATGTTTCATATTTATTTTGGTGGATTAATTTATCGTTGTTCGATAGTATCCTGACAAATTTTGGATACTTGTCTAGCATTATTGTTTAATTTGTAGATTTTTAATTTTAGAAAAATTTTAAATGAATAAATGAGTTTGAGTGGATCGAATTCGTGCTCGGTCTTCTGACATGTTTAGAAAAATATTAAATAAGTTAAACAAGTCATTTTCGGGTTAGTTGGGTTTGAAGGGGTGGATTTGTGTAGGGCTTTCTGATCCATCTAAATAAAAATATTAATTTCAAATTAAATAATTTAACCCTTTTAAAAACTTAAATTTTGGAATTATAAACAACTACTATTGTAGATTATTACGCTGATATTTGTGTAAACCATGTGCAAACTATTTTATTCGATTTGACTTAACTGTTGTTATGTTTATGCTTTACTCAAGATTATTTTGTTGTTGTCGGTTGATCGTGTTTCGCACTTCACAGTTACCAATAATTTATCTTTTAATTAATTAATTAATTTGTTGTTGTCGTCGTCTACGTGATTCATCACTTACCAATCCTACAATCTATTTCAACATCTCATAATTTGCAGTGGCCATTGTAGCAGGATACACAAAACCAAGAAAATTCAAATCCGCCATGACCATCAAGCAGGCTGTTCGGATTGCAGATGGAAAGCTCGTAGTGAAGAACAAAACCATCCTCACCAACGTGCCGGAAAATGTCGTCCCGACGTCCGCCTCCACGACCGGGCCGGTCGACGGCGTGTTTCTCGGGGCCGTGTTTGATCAAGACAGCAGCCGCCACGTCGTTTCCCTCGGCGCATTCCGCGACGTCCGATTCTTAGCCTGTTTCAGGTTCAAGCTATGGTGGATGGCCCAAAAAATGGGAGACAAAGGCCGCGACATCCCAATGGAGACGCAGTTCTTGCTGGTGGAGACCAAAGAAGGATCGCACATCATCGACAACGACAATAAAAACAGCAACATTGTCTACACAGTCTTCCTGCCATTGATCGAAGGTCCCTTCAAAGCATGCCTTCAAGGAAACGACAGGGACGAGCTCGAACTGTGCCTCGAAAGCGGGGATATCGACGCAACGGCATCGATCTTCACTCATTTGGTCTACATTAGCTCCGGGATCGATCCATTTCTAACGATCCACGAGGCGATCAAGGCGGTTAAGCTGCATTTAGGGAGTTTCAAGCTGCGGGAAGAAAAGAAGTTGCCAGGGATCGTCGATTACTTCGGTTGGTGCACTTGGGACGCATTTTATCAGGAGGTAACTCAGGAGGGAGTCGAGGCCGGGCTCGAAAGTCTAAAATCAGGCGGGACGCCTCCGAAGTTCGTCATCATCGACGACGGATGGCAGTCTGTTGCATCCGACAACGATCGAGAAACAGAGCAGGAGCTCGGGCAGCCGAGGCTGCTGAGATTAACTGGAATAAAAGAGAACGAGAAGTTTCAAAAACCGAGCAATCCTTCGAAAGGAATCGAAAATATTGTTAGCGTCGCGAAGGAGAAGTACGGGCTGAAGTATGTGTACGTTTGGCACGCGATCACGGGGTATTGGGGCGGGGTGAGGCCCGGCGTGAAGGAGATGAAACACTACGAATCGGCGATGCAGTATCCGAAGCTCTGCGACGGCGTGATGGAGAACGAACCCGGATGGAAAACTGACGCGATTGCGTTGCAAGGGCTTGGGTTGGTGAATCCGCGGAGCGTGTACAAGTTCTTCTTTGAGCTGCATAGCTACTTGACGTCTGCGGGCGTCGACGGAGTGAAGGTCGACGCGCAGTGCATACTCGAGACTCTCGGGGCAGGGTTCGGCGGGCGCGTCGAGATCACGTCGCAGTATCATCAAGCCCTCGACGCATCCGTCGCCAGGCATTTTCCCGACAATGGATGCATCGCTTGTATGAGCCACAACCTCGAATCGTTGTACTGGTATGCTTCGATCTTTCGTTTCGTTAGTTTGATGCGTCTTTCGATTAATGATGAATGTGTCGATGAATTAAAACAGCTCGAAACAAACCGCGATTGTGAGGGCGTCGGACGACTTCTTCCCGCGCGAACCGGTGTCGCACACTATCCACATTGCCGCTGTCGCTTACAACAGCGTCTTCCTCGGTGAAGTCATGCTCCCCGACTGGGATATGTTCCATTCTCTCCACCCGGCGGCTGAGTACCATGGCTCGGCTAGGGCTATTAGCGGCGGACCTGTCTACGTTAGGTAACGAGTCGAGTCGAGTCGAGTCGCCTCATTGTTACGTATGATACTAATGCTTTCGTATGTCTCCGCAGCGACGCTCCGGGGAAGCACGACTTCAATCTGTTGAAAAAGCTCGTGCTACCCGACGGTTCGATTCTTCGCGCCCGTTTGCCCGGTCGCCCGACCAAAGATTGCCTATTCGCCGACCCTTCTCGCGACGGCATCAGGTCGATGAACATAGCAGGCTAACGCATCGGATCCAATCAGAACTCTGAAGTTAAGTTCGTTTGCGCCTAGAATTATCATTCTGAATAAATTATCGTGTTTTTTTTCAGTCTTTTGAAGATATGGAACATGAACAAGCACACGGGCGTGTTGGGTGCATACAACTGCCAGGGCGCGGCGTGGAACAGCGCGGAGAGGAAAAACACGTTCCACTCGACAAACACCGAGCCAATAACCGGCCACATCAGCGGCGGCGACGTCCATCTCCTTTCGGACGTCGCGCCCGACTCCAACTGGGATGGCAATGTAGCTTTATATTCTCACAACGGCGCGACTCTCGCCGTCGTATCGAGCAATGTCTCGTTGCCGGTCTCGCTTAAAGTCCTCGAACACGAAGTCTACACAATCACTCCAGTCAAGACATTTTCCGACGGCATCAAGTTCGCGCCGCTAGGCCTCATCGACATGTTCAACTCCGGCGGAGCGATAGACGGGCTCGAATATGATTGGAAGGTCGACGGAACGGCAGTCGTTTCTGTCGATGTAAAGGGGTGCGGGCGGTTCGGCGCTTATTCGTCTACAAAGCCGAGGAAGTGTACGGTGGGATCGTCGTCGACGTCGCCGTCTCCGGTGGGTTTCGAGTACGAGGCAGCGACGGGGCTGGTGACTGTGAAGTTGGAGGAGATGCCGCCGGAGGAGCAAAAGGTTCACAAACTTGTGTTTGAGTTATGACTAAATGGTTTTAAGAAAAAGGCAAAGATGTAGCAGAGGTAATGGTGATGATGCTATTATTTATTTAGAGTTGCTATAAGGTAAAAGGGATTGAAGTGTTATGACTATGAAATGATCAATCCTTTGGTATTAGAGGATCTTATTATCCAAATGGTGAGTTATTATTGTCTTATTTGGTATCACTTTGTGCTTTTTTCTTTTTCGTCTTTTCTTATTATTTTGTATTTTAACATAAATATTTTAAATTTTTACACTATCTATGTATATATTTTATTAAAATATACTTACTTCGTCGCTTCCGTCCTATAAAAATATTATTTTTTATTTTTCTCCGTAAAAAAACAAGAGTACTATTTTCTAATTGAGTAACTATATTACTTATGTAACATAATAAATACCCCTACAATTTACAATATATTACACAAATATCATTATTTTTATAATAGTAGGGGCATTTTCGTCTCTTTCATTACAAACTATATTAACTAATTAAAAATTATATTAGTAAAAATAATTATAAATTAAGATTAAGATGATTAAATAGTTAATTAAAATTAAAAAAATTATAAATTATAAAATTTAAAATATAATTAAAATGTATAATTATATTTTTTTAAAAAATAAATTATATGAGACGGATAAAAATAAAAATAATGAACAAATTAAGTGACGGAGGAAGTACATGTCAATGATTAATTTTAATACAATACGAGGTAATAGTTTCCACATAATATATGTTATTAGTTTCAATACAAAATACTCTTACCGTTTTATCAGATATTTTTTATTGTTTTTTCTTTTAATTCGTTTTGCATAATTTATTTTTATTTTTTTAATAAATTTAATCATTTTAAATATATTTAAAAAATATAAATAAATTTAATTAAATTTTAATTATTTTATGAACTCTTTTAAATAATTATAAATTAATGTTAAAATAGTTAAATAATTTTATTAAAATTAAAAATTAAAAATAATATAATTAATATACATAATCATTTTTTTTTTAAAAAAAAGAATTATGTGATAAAAAAAATGATTTTATGTGAAATAAAGTGAATATTCAAAATAAAAATATTCTACCATACGCGCATCTTAATTACTTCTCATCTCCACATAATTTGTCCTTATTTTATATTTTCGTTCGTCCACATAACTTGTCTTTTATATTTTCGAAAATATAATTATGCACTTTAATTGTATTTTAAATTTTATAATTTTTTAAATTTTAATTAACTATTTACTTATATTAATCTTAATATATAATTATTTTTACTAAATAATAATTATTTTTATTAATATACTTTTTAATTACTTATTAATTATATTTTATTTAAATTTTCGTATCTATAGTAATACATCCATATTACATGGGACAGACGGGACGGAGTATCTGGCATGTCATTAACTTGCATTAATCATAGAGGTGACGGCACATAATAAAAGTCCGTACCGTACGTCTCGCCTCGACACGCATTTGCGGCAATTGCCAGGCGGCTCAACGCTGTGCTGACACGTGTCCAAAAGACAATCTTCCCTATTCTTCCTCGTCTTCTTCAAACAGAGTACATGCAGTGCAATCCCATCCAGTTAAATTAATTAATTCCTCCGCAGCAAGACATAAATCAATTGCATAAATACACACGCAGAGATAAGAGTATTGCAAATTTGCAATTACGATTGCTAAAAAAAATAAATAAAAATATACATAAATATATATACAGAATAATAATGTCTGCGTCGATTGTGGAGCCTCACGACAAGATGAGGGCTCGAGACGTTAACAAGGTGGCCAGGGGGGAGCAAGCCCCCCGCCCGCCCCAACAATCGCCGCCGGTCTCCCGCCCGCCACCGCCTTCCTCCTCCGCCGCCACCGCCGATCACTCCTCTGATAAGGTCAATTTGTCGCTCTTGCTTTATTAAAATCTCTTTGGATGTTTGTTTGCGGATTTTAATTTTTGAATTTGAATTTTATTTTTGAATAATATAGAGTTGAATTTGAACAGATATAATAAAAATAGAGATTAATGTGATGTTTTGAATCTAAAATAAATTTGTAGTATAATATAAAAGAAAAAAAAAATTAATTGTTTGATATGATATTTTTAGAGAAAAAAAAAAGTAAGGTGAATAATAAAAATCCACGGTCTTTTTTGATAATTTATTGGGTATTTTTACTTTATTTTTATTTAAAATAATTTTATAAATTGTATTTGAGATATCTATTTTTATTTTTTGTAAATAAATAAAATGGTAAAAATATTAGGATACATCGGTTCTAGGTTGAATTTTTGTAGTGGAAATGGTTATAAGTGATTTACGATCTAATATACATCATAGGAGTAAAAAAGTTTAAATATATATTTAATTATTTTAATACTATATTTTAATAAAATTAATATAATATATATATATATTATTTTATAAATAATAAAATATTTATAAATACAAATAAATAGTCAAATAAATTTTTATCTATAATTAATATAAGTTAATTTTATAAATAAATTGGAGTTTTGAATATATATAAAAAATATTGATTTATTGAGGAGAGATAAATATATTATTTTTTTTTATAGATAATGTAGGAGCAGCTACAATTTGAGAGTGCTAAGAAATTCTCTGTCGAACTTAATAACTGGCAAATTAAACTAGAGACACAATAAGTCTTTGAATTTGGGTGGTTCATACAATTTACTCCCGTCTCTTTTGAACGCGTACTCCTTTGAAATTTTATAGTAGATTAATAAATAATATTCTCTCCATTCCACATTGCATGTTCAGATTACGGTAGACACGAAAATTTAAAATAAATATAATTAGTAGATAATTAAAAATGTATTAGTAAAAATAATTATCTTATAATATAAATAATTATGAATTAAGATAACCAATTAGTTTAATTAATTTTTTTTTTAAAAAATAGATTAAAAAATTTAAAATGAGATTAAGGTGTGATTATTTTCCAGAAAAGAAAAGTGATATAAGACGTGGAACGGATATAAACGACAATATGAACATATGGACATGGTAGATTGGATGGAGAGAGTAATATTTTATCGGCCCTTTGAATATCTAAGAAATTTTGACAATTTTATCCTTTAATTATATATATAAAGTAATTGTACTATAATAATATGTTTGTAATTTATATAAAACTCAATGATATTTTAGATGATTTATTTATAATTTAAGTAAATAAATGATATTTTAATATTAATGTATGATTATTTTTATTAAAATAAAAAAAAATTAAGTGAGACTGACAAAAATAATAAAATAAAATAGTAATTTGAATTGAGACAAAACTAATATTAAAAACAATATTTGGGCCAGAGCATATTCCCAACTTTGGATGGGCATAGGTGTGTTCTCTTATAAAATTTTACCACCAAACTACCACTATTTATCAATTTTTTTTTTAAATATCAAATAAAACACATATTTTTTATTTTTATATTATATTAAAAATTACTATTACGATATTTCAACATCTATTTATATTGTATTGTACAATTATTATAATTTAAAATTTTTATTGTTCAAAAATTCAAATCTCCAAACAAACACACCCCAAACTGACCCTTAACAATATCATAATAAAAATGGAAGATTATCGCCCTTGTTAGTGTTCAAGACACAAACCATTTCTATTCATCTCATGTCATTCGTAATAATAGTAATAATTTTTTATAATAAAATATCCTATTAAAATATTATTTAAATTAAAGTTTCAATTTCAATTCTTTATAAAGAAAAAAAAAACAATACTTTTTTCTTCCCGTTATAAAATATACATATTTCTATTTTGGGACGTCTAATTACAAAATAAATATTTTATTACATACCTCATTTTTTTTTTCACAAATACTCTTATTTTACGTCGCATCATTACTTTTATACAAAAAAAAGGACAAAAATGTCTTTACGCTACTTTTAACTGTCCATTATATTTAAAATACTATGTACGTGGACGGAGGGAGTAGAATATATTAGGGTGTCTTTCTTCGTGTTTTATTTATTTATTTACTTACTTTATAATGTTGATATTTTACGATATTTTATATTAGAGTTTTTGTAGTTTCAAATTGAAATTGTATAGAATATTTTAATTTTTTTTATTATAATATTTTGAATGACAATTAGATATTAATTTTGATTATTTTTGAAAAAAAAGAATATTTAATATAAAAAGTAAACCTTCAAAAAGAAATCGAAGCACACTCTTATAGGCAAATTAACTTCACTATATGTGTATTCTTCTTTCTAGGTTGATGTGTATATTTGTTATCTTGATTGATATCTTATATATATATTCATTATTGCGAACAATAAATTAGGAGTTCGGTAACAAGATATATGTGGGTTATAGTTTGATGTGTTTTCACCTAATCACTCTTTACTCTTGTAAATGTAGGAAGAGATTAATTTCGATCATTCGACTCAATCGAAGAAAGATAACTCTTCCAATCAGAAGCAACGATGTTACGATAGTTACTATGAGTATCATAAGTACGCATGCCTCTCTCTCTCTTTTTTTTTTTTTTTGCATGTTCTTTGCTACGTAATAAAACTATATAGTCAACATTAATATCTTTCAATGCTACATTGTTCTTAAGATAATAAACATTTTAAAATCCTTCCCATTTCCTTTTTTTTAGGGGAGTATTTGTGTGTGGGTTTTAGTTTCTGAATTTGGATTTTTGAATAGTAAAAAGTTGAATTTATATAGTTTGATGTGATATACATCGAGATTATTACGATATTTTGAATGTAAAATAAATTTATAATATAATATAAAAAAAGTAACTGATGTGATAGTTTTGGAAAGAAAAAAGAATCTGAATAATAAAAACGTATGATAAAACTCATAGAAGAACAACTGAAATTTTTTAAAATGTGATTTCATTCTTTTAATTAAAAATGCAATGAAATCAATTTTTATTAGGTTAAAATGATTATTTTATTGTAGATTGCACAATGTCAATCTCATGCACTAATGCCATGATCAAACACATCCAAACACACCCAATGTTAGGGTGATTGGATGTGGTTTTCGATCATTAATTCTTTTTCTTCAAAAAATATCGTATAAATTTTTTATTCAAGTTTATTTTATTTTTATCATAAAAAACACATCAAATATATATTACCATTAAATCAAATATCTATTAACAGAACTCTTTCACAACACAATTAAATGAAAATTTTGCCATATGTCAGAAATGCATGTTACTAATTGAGCTTTTTATGTACTATGTATATTAATTAGGTGCATCCAAGAAAAGGGAAATGAAGCACAAGAATGCAAGAAGGTTGCCGAGTACTACAAATCGATGTGTCCCGATTGGGTAGACTTAGCATTTAATTTACAAATTTAAAATTTTAGGTCATGCCCGTCGAATTCTTTCACTTTGATCCAACATTATTTTTCTTAATAATCTTATGCAGATTGGAAGTTGGAGAATTGAGTGAAAGAGAGCATATAATGACCTAGGAAGTATACGATAAAGTTCTAATCGTATACAAGATGGTTTTTGCTCGCCTTTGAATCTAATTATGTAAGTTTTTCGATGTTTATATATCTTTGTGGCGCACAATGCATATAAAACCCATTTTAAGTATCCTTAGTTCGAAGTAGGTTGTCATGTCAAGCAATGTTAGTTCGATGATACTGCGATAATTTGTAGGAAGTAGGATGTCAATAAATCTATGTTTCAATTGTTCTAAAAGTTTTTTCATTGAGTTGGTTTAGTTCTTTTAAATCATTCTAAGATGAATTTGGTTATAATAAATTTTGAGTTACCTAATTAATAATTTATCGGGTTTTTGTACATAAGATGCTTACATTTACTAAATATATTTAATCTATAATTGTATTTTTTATCCAACAAAAATTGATGGTTCGTTTTTTTTTTTTTTTTCAATTAAACGTAATTAAATTGATAGTTAATAAGCTAGAGTTGAAAGGAAGTTTGCACAATCAAGTTAGCCAGATCAAAGGATTAAATATAAACATTACACAATTATTGAACTCAAAGTTTGAAAAATCAATACATGTGCGAGAGCATGATAGTTGGATATGATACATTTTTGACTTATTCGAAGTTTGGCTCAATAAGCATACTAAGGCCATCTCCATTGCAACGTCAAAATTGACGGCGCATCTTCATATTTGCCGCTGTCTCCCTCCAATCGACGCCAATTCATACACTATTTTTGGTGTATTTTTGGTGTTGCACGCAAACACTATTTATGGTTGGTGTGTTTGTTTTATTTTTTTAATTTTTTTTTAATTTTAAAAATTATAAATTTGACTTTTAAATTTAATTTTTATTTTTTTAAATTTTTAAAAAATTTATTTAAAATTATAAAAATAAAAAGTTGTTTAAAATAATAAGAAAAATTGAATATTTGAAGAATAATAGGGAAAAATGGAGTTATAATTTGAGTAAAATTACTGTAGCAACTGCATATTTGGAGATAAAATTGGATAAATGGAATTTATGGGTTGGAGATGATATAACAAGTTGACCTCGAACAATCTATTTAAATAGTTATCAAGAAGATCATTTTAATATTTTTTTCATCTTATTTATTTATTATTTATTTTGCTAGTATTATTTATAGTTTGGTAGGCTTTAAATCTTTTGCAATTTCTTTTAGGTACACATGATTTTTTTTTTTTTAAATACAATACATAAAATTATTTAGAATAAAAAATAAAGATAAAAATTGTGAAAAATTTATAAAAATATATACTCCCTCTCCGTCTGTGCATTTACTTTTTGTTTGGTAAATTATTTTTTTAGTGCCGTATCTCACTCAAGTGAACACTGTCTGAAAATTGTCTCGTAAGTAAAATTTTTTCGCTAAAATGGTCCTCCAGCCGGATTCGCCACGTTGGCAGCTGCTACTGATGTGGCGTATGTCAACGCCATGAGACCATTTACCGAAAATTTTTACTTGCAGAACTATTTTAAGACATAGTCCATTTAAATGTTCTAAAAATGATAACCGAAAATTTTTACTTGCAGAACTATTTTGAGACATAGTCCATTTAAATGTTCTAAAAATGAAAAAGAAGTTCATATACATGACTCTAAAAATAGTTTATCATTATATTTTGTAAAAATAAAATAAAATTTCACATATTGGTGACGCGTGGCGATGATATATCAGCCGTGTCAGTGCCATATCAACAACGGCGGACCAGCGTGGCGAGTCCGGCACTGGAGGACCATTTTAGCGAAAATCTTTTACTTACGATATTATTTTTAGATAGGATCCACTTAAAGTCATAAAATGATAAAAGAGTCGCAAATAAAATAATTTTTGTACAAATGTTAAGATACTAATAGAAATATGTTTGTCAATTTTTATTTTATTTTATTTTTATTTTTATATTTGTACACAAAAAGTAATGTGATCTTTACAATTTTTAATAAAGGGTGGAAAAAACTATCAAAGCAAAAGAAAGGGATTTATGGAATATAGATGAGGTTCGAGTTTAACAATATTGAGATTCTATTTTAAAAAATGATTATCATTTGAAATTGATTTGAAATGTTATGGTCATTTATGTTTTTATTTAAATAAAATTTGGATGTGATATTTTGTGAAATGAAATACTTCCTCGTCATTTAAATTTATGCTCACTTTTTTTTTTAGGGTTGTCATTGAAAAATATTTTTATTTATTTTTAAATAAAAAATCATTTCACTTTGTACTGTTTTTTACTATAAAAGGAAAAATTAACAATTATTACTTATTTTTATTAAAACTCGTATCCAGTCAAATGAGCATATATTTACATGACGGAAGAAGTAGTATTTTTTTTTTTTTATTGGAAATTATATAAAGTAAATAGTATTGATTTCAATTTGTACAAAAGAATAAATACTAATTTATATTCGATTCTATTCAAGTAACAACTCTAATAACAACACAAACGAATGTCTTGCTCCAAATAAAAATACAGCCATGCAATATTTTATTTTTATTTATAATTTTTTTTATTACAGAAAATCTTAAACCACAAGCAGAAATTTGTCATATATATATATATATATATTGCAGTGGCTAACGAAGATGAGGTCTAGAAGTCGACGATTCAACTTTTTACTTGAACACGTCAGCTCAAATAAAACCAGAAGGTTAGATCGTCTGGCAAGATAGATTAACGGCAACCATTTGTTACAAATAATAATAATAATAATAAAGAAAATATCTGAATCCTGTGGACATAATTGTGCAATATTATCTGTCCTCGACAAGAACAATTTAAGAATTTTGTCGTGACCATTGTACAAACCATTGCTCATCATTGCAACGGCCAAAACTGTACAATTAATTAAATTGCGAGTAAAATTTGTTATCACAGTTTTGACTGTGTGGTCGTAGATTAATGTTCGAGACGTGGACGATGTCGATGTGTATATGATGAGGCGTTTAGATAGCTTGGGGGTGAATTTGGTCGACGAATAATAATTTATCGGCGCAACTAATAATGAGCAATTTGTCGATGAATTCTTTGCTTGTTCGCGCGCCAATGTTATTTCATTTAGTTATTGTTGTTCGATTGCGCCAATGTTATTTCATTTAGTTATTGTTGTTCGATCGCGCCATATCTTGCAATGTTGTCGATATATATATATATATATATATATATATATATAGCTGTTTTTACTTGCTCTTTTGGCAATCGCTAAATTTCTAGTCAAGGCTTCAGATAGTCTGTCATGTACATTTTACCATTGATTTTACCACAAGAGTATATTATCATATATACTAGTACAAATACATAAATGAATTAATGCAATATATGCCATAATTGATGTATATTAATATGATATAAGTTGATTGTTAGAATATGAAACTGAAATTCTTCATTTCAATCATATTATAATGATATACAAATCCTTTAAATAAGACAAGAATCCTATAAATCTCTTAAATATAACTATCAGAAATATAATATATTACTTCTAAATATATTTTAACATCCCTCCTCAAACTCAATATATAATCGAACAAACTTGGGTTTGTTAGAAGTGAGCGAAAAAGATATAGCCGAGATCTTCCATGTACGAATTTAAATTTACCAAGATTGACTGAAGGTGGTGTAGCTGTCAATTGGATCAGAGTCAGAAGCAAAACTCTCAACATCATTAGAGTTGGAAACAAGACTCGCTCGCTCACAATGGAACTAGAGTCGAAAACAAGACTCGTTTACTCTATAGAGCTAGAGTCGGAAACAGGACTCGCTCGCTCACAAAAGAGCTAAAGTCAGAAACAGGACTCCCTCACAAGACTCTCAACGACGTTAAAGTCGAAAGTAGACTTTCAGTGGAGTAGTAAAGACGGAGAGGATATAAAAATAATAGCATGACCGAGCATGACTGTGAATAGAAGCAGATACATCAATAAAATATAAAAATATATATGAGATATATCAGGTCATGGATGTACTCGGAGAGAATTTGGCTCTGATACCATGTTAGAATATGAAATTGAAATTCTCTATTTCAATCATAAAAATACGCACATATTTATAATGATATACAAATCGTCTAAATAAGGTAAGACTCCTATAAATCTCTTAAATAAGATAAATGCCATAAATATAATATATTGCTTCTAAATATATTTTAAAATTGATAATATACGATAGATAGGACCATAAATCCTGTGCTGATTCAGCCAAGTCAGCATGCCGATGATTTGAATGAATCAGCATAGCATATACTATCGGAATGACCAACATATATTTATACACATCTTAACATATGCTGAGTTATAATATAATATAATATATGTTGTATTATAAATATACTGATATATATATATAAATATATGTTGGTCACCTCCATAACATATGTGAGTCAAATTTCTTAGACATTGTATTAGGAAGTGCTCTTGATGGCACAAACCTTATTTGGTACTCATTCTCTTCCATTTTTAAGGGCTTTCTTGACCTAATTCGGAATTTGTTGCTTGTGCTAGTTTCAACAAATTCAACCCATCAATTGCCAGAAAAGCTATAGAAATCTTATGTTCGTCGCATTCAAGTTCGATCCATTTAACTTTGCAATTGAGTCTATCCCTAGAAAATATATTCTTGCTATACCATTTTTGTCATTGTTTGCCACAAATTTTTATATGTAGACGATTTCAATCATATAAATAGTTGATAGATTTTAATTTATAAAATTATATTTATTTACTTCAATTATATGAATTTGCTTACTTTGATATTGTATTAGTATTTCTTGTATTTAAATGACAGTTATGTCTGATATTTTGTTAGAGAAATAATATACTTTTAATTGAGAGAGATGCATATTTTTATTATTTTTTATTTTTTAAAAAAATCAAAATAAAAAGTCATATTTACTTCAAATTAAAACGTAGATTCTTGATAATTTGCATTCAAAAAAAATAAATAAATAAATAAATAAAAGAAAAAAAAATCTTTGAATTCCACATGCAATATTTCATATATATCCCAGTAGTTGTTTCATCATCAATTCTGTTAAATCCAAAAAATTCTCGATACCCATTTTGGCATGTTGTTGGCCTTGCAAAAAAACAACAAGTCTGTACGCATATACACAAGAGTGTAGTGATATAGAACGACTGAAGGGCTCTTTTTGTCCAATTGTTTGGGGGATTGGATTTTAAATCCACTGTTTATCCCTTTTTTTTTTTTTTTCCTTCAAAAGCATCAAATCTAATACCTATTTTTTATTTTTTATATTATATTAAAAATCAATTTTACATTCAAAACATCACATCAACACTTATTTATATCACATCATACAACTATTCAATTTCAAAATTTTTACTATTCAAATCTCAACTCAAAATCCAAACCCCCAAACAAACACACCCTTAGAAGAGACAAAAAATACATATAAAATAGCAAATGAAATATTTGAATTGTTAGAAAACATTTTCTTTCATTTCGATGCAAAGAATATTAATGGTATTATTTTATATAGTCAACTCTATGGTTGTACACTACCAAAAAAAATAATATATTTGTAATGAAATTCCGTCCCCTAAAGATCACGTAGCTAACGTAATTCTATCATTAATTTCGTCTCTAATATCATTAGTAATGGAAAAAATAAATTTAAAGACGAAAAAATCTCGTTACAAAAATGATATTTTCTTATAGTGGTATGACCAACACTGTATGTAAAATTGAGAAGAGAGTTTCTGTTTAGGATTTCTCTCAATTCGTGTCTTTTATTTTTTATATTTTAAAGAATATTCAAACTACTAAGATCACTGTCGGAAGTGATATCAAAAGAATGATAAATGGGAGATCCAACCAAAAATATCAACCAAATCTTAGATAATCTTACTCTAAGCTAGATTATAAATCTAATGATATTATTACTCTCACGTTGGATGTCTGGGTCACTGTAGACACGAGAATTTATGATAAGTATAATTAGTAGATAATTAAAAATGTATTAGTGAAAATAATTATCTTATAATATAAATAATTATAGATTAAGGTTAAGATAACTAATTAGTTTAATTAAAACTGAAAAAATTAAATTAGAAAATTTCAAATGAGATTAAAGTGTATAATTATTTTAAAAAAAAATGACATAGAATGTGAGACGAACAGAAACAGCAATATGAATATGGTAGGCGGGACGGAGGGAGTATTTAAGAGTGACAACTAGTTAGCCGTGCATGATATTGTAAAATGAGCAATGAAACATGATAGGTATATTTGGAGTTTATCGGTGATTTGAGCCCTTGTAATATTGTGATAGTGGACTAACGGTAGCCTTCGAAACTTTCAATAACAATCCTTTCATTTTTCTATCCCTATTTATTAATTAATCAACCAAAGAATGCATAAGAACTATTACAATCAAATATCTAACGAAGTTTAGTAGTTGTCTTATTTAAGTGATTAAATGCTACTGCACGCTTGCTTTCGACCCATTTTATTTGCTTGTTTTACTTTTAATGTGATATTTTAGATGTAATATAATTATGATAGTTTTTTATAAAACTATATTGTTCTTAATTTTTTTTTAAATGATTTTATTAATTTTAGAAAAAGTAAAAGATAAATCTGTGTATAAAGAAAGAAAATTTATAAAAAATTTTTAGACATTTCAAATTAGAGAAATAGAGAAAAAAATTAAATCAAGGAAACATTCAATAGCGATTTTGAGAAAGTAATATATATATATATATATACATATGGACGACCTATCTAGAGGTTGAGGGCAGCTGACCCTGCAGTCCTAAAAATTTATATACTATTTTTTTAATGCAAAATATAATAAAAATTATGTATTTTTTATTAACTTGCCCTCTAACTTTTATTTTATAGTGTAAAAATAATTTTAATTTTTTTAAGTAAAAAATATTAAATTTTATATAATTTTGTTAAATTTTTCTTTAAAACACTTAGTTTTTCACATTTTTTTCATTTCTTTTATAACCAATTGTGCCGAGAAAAATCGAAAAGAAAATATTAAATCGATAAAAAAAATTGATATTTTGCCTCCCATCCCCCAAAATTTTACGGTTGATTCCACCACAGTGTATATATATATATATATATTATATGTATATATAATAGTGACCACAAGAAAAGTTGAGTGATGAGTTTACAAGATTGCAAGAAAGTTAAATCCAGCCTCATCACAATGTGCACCAACTCATAGATAGGCACTGCTCTAGGTTGTCACCATCCCCACCACATGCATATGCAATTTAGGTTTTATTTTTTTGTCTCGCAAGGGATACTCTGGTGGTGTAGGAGTTGAATTTGTGACCGTGAGGTCATGGGTTTATACTCCCGACGCCTCAGATCACCTGCCGCACATGGTTCGCTGTACACAATGTACAAATACATTATGTATAGCGAGTTTCCCGTAAACTTATAATATCATGAATTCACCTATTATACCAACTTTATATGTTCATTTCCGACCTATATCACTTGTTTTGTTTACTTGTGTTCTTAAAAATGTTTTCATATATGTAATTTTTTTTTTTTGAAACACATCACATTATTCAATACACATTATATATATATAAAAAATATTACTTTATAAATTTATTTTTTATTTAAAATATTAGATTATCTATTTTTATTCAAATATTTATTATCATTTTTTACATATATATTTAAAAAAATCTTGGTACTATATATATTCCCCAACGATAATTTTTGCAAAAATAAAGCCTTATATGTGTGTTTGATTAATACGCTAGTTTTAAAATATTCTTTTTATATGGAGTACAATAAATCGATAATATAAAAAAAATAATATTTTGAATTGAATGTTAATTTTTTGTGAGAATGTATATAAATTATATATTAGGAATTATTTTAGTTAAAAAAAATAAATTAATTGGATAAACAAAGTTATATTTTCTCTCAATACTTAATTTTTTTTTTATTATTTTCAAATTTATTGAAACTGACAATTTTTTTATTACTTTCAAAATTTTCACTCCCCCTTCCTCAAATAGTTTGAAACTTTTTACAAAGATGTACAGATTTTTTCCATGTTTGAATTTAATGATTGCATCACACTTGCATGGCTATTAGGTGCTGATTTAGTCAAATCAATATCATGCTGATTTGATCAAATCAGCAAAATAATATAAAATAATTAGCAAATTAACACATTACCCTCACACAATTAGCAAATAGTTACAAAACAGATAACATATGTTGTATTATATAATATGTTATATATTATATTACTCCATATTTACTACTTCTTTTTTTTTTTTTTTTTTATAGACATTTGCACATCAGATCAAATTACTATCGTACTGTATGATAATATATTTTGCTACATATAATTATATAATGTACTATTCAAATATATGTTACATATTATATCATTATTTGTTATTTTCTTTATAGATATTTGCTAATTGGGTCAACTCAACATCATAATGATTTGATCCAATCAACACGTAACCGAAACACACATATACATATGATATTGTTACAAAATTTTAAAAGGATTTATCAATGTGCAGATAAGCTGCCAAATATCTAAAGTCTATTCAGGAACAAGATTGCACAGAGGGGGAATTTGGGTCCATACCAAGTATAATAATTGAATGTGGGTACACATAATTTGCAACTAATTTAAAGTGTACATAATATTACAAAAATAAAAATAAAAATACAATAAAATAGAAAGACCAAATATATATATATATATATATATTATATGACAAGAAATATCTGTGAAACTTTGTTTTTCACTTTAAACGAAAACAGAAAAAGAAGAGATATTACACATTTTTTTTTTCTACAAAATATCGTATCAAAATATTACTTTTTAAATTAAAAGCTCAAATCTAAACCAAATATAACTAAAAACACTAAAGCAAAAAAAAGAAAAGAATAAAAGTAATTGCAAAAACTAAAGCAAATGCCCCGAAAAAGTAGAAAAACATCAATTTGTTTCGTTGGATTATTTCAGATGAAACGTGTGAATAACATGAACACAAAAAAAAAAAATAAAAAAAAAGATAGATCGACAACATTTGACAACAAAATCCTAAAAATAGTAATATTGTCGATGGTGACTATTTTCAATTTATATTTATTTGCATCATTAATTTTCAAGATTCTCAATATACAGTACACTATTTTTTTTTACAAAATATCATATTCAAATCATTGTTAAATAAATAAAAATAAAAAATCACCAACTAAAACATTACTTAATAACTAAGTAGTCCAAACAATTATCTCAGGGATCAACCCGAACCCGACCAACTCAATCACTCTACGAGTTAGATCACCGAGACGGAAATAATATTATATACAATTAATATTTCAAACTTTTTATCTAACGTTTTAATCGAACAATTTGAAAATAGAAATATCATGAAGGGATGTAACCATCGAACACACTGGCAATGTGCACTTGTTGCAGCAGCTTCTGCAAGTCAAGAAAAACACAAACAAAACATTAGAAACCAAGTCTCACATGCAATACATGTTTCTTGTTCTTGCTTCATTTCAATAATTTATGCATTATATTGTTTTGTACTTAGTCTTGATTCCATTTGTTATGAAAATTATGGACCAATCATGACATAAATTAGGTTTTCTTTGGGCTGATCGAGTTCTCCAAGTTGAAGAAATTCATCGGGACATGTTATATAACCATATATTGGTTTAAGAGATCGATCGATCGATCGATACAAGTTTTTGGAGCATATTTGTTCTTATTCTAATACAAGTATGCTTCATTTTAAAGTTCTTTCGGTGGCGCTCTTGAAAAAAGAATTTGGAAATTATTGATGTGAATAGGATATATAAATCAATCTTCTTAAATTTCATTGAAGTTTGGAGTTAATTGTGTTCTTTGGTAGATTTTTCATAAAATTTTTATTATTAATTTTATTTTTTACTTTCAAAAATATCAAAATAAATAAGTATTTTTTAATTTTTATATTATGTTTAAAATTAATTTTATATTTAAAAGATCACATCAATATCTATTTATACCACGTCAAATCAAATCATTATTCATATTTAACTTTTTACTATTTAAAAATCCAAACCAAAAATCAAATCGACAAACAAACATGACTCTCTGATTAGACGGAAATTGGACTTGAGACCTAATTCGAATATATATAATTGATTCTGATATCCGATTATACTTAGACGCAACTATATATCAATCCGACTCAAGGTATACCTAATAGATCCTATAGATCCAAAATGTTTTTGCAATTATTAAAGTTTTTACTTCAATTTAGACCCAAATCCGACTGTATCCAAAAAAAATTATATAATACTCAACACACGTACAATTTTAACCAAATATAGTTAAATCCCACGCCAATTAAATGGTTCGGTCTACGACGGATTTCGGATGTACCAGACTCATTGCCATCTCAAATACAATTGATTTTTTTGGAATTTACCTTGCTTTGATTTATGTTACAACTAAAGTAAATTGATTATATCTCTTGAAATATATTTTATATACTTTTATTCCTTGTTTGTATATATTATTTTGAAACCCTAAATTAAAGTTCTATTACCTTTAACTTGAGATTTCATAGAGATTCGTAAAAACTGAATTGTAAAGAAAAATAAAAATAAATTTTAAGTGAAAAAACACACAGATTCATTGTATATATTTGGTCTTACGTGTAACTATTTTCTTGCATGTATGTTAGATAATTAGCTAGGCTAAGTACTATAAATATTGTTGAGTGAAGAACAAAATAATATTGCATAATTAATTTGATGACAGAGCATAGTTATTTTATTTCATTTTTTTAAAAAATATCAAATCAAATATAATTTTATTTCATAAAATATCAAATTAAATATTAACTTTTTATTTTTTCCGAAACTTCCAAACCTCCAAAGTCACAATTGTGCTTCTCAATGTTATACAAGAAACTTAATCGTATATACACAAAAAAAATATATATGGAACCATATACAGTACTATATATCAATACTAAATTATTGCAATTACCACTTGTTAATTAATTTGTTGAATATAGATATATGTATACTAAAATATTCAAGAATATCCATAATTACTTTTTTTTTTTTTTAAACACTTTCTCAATAAAATATTTATTTTTTACAAGTTTTGTGTCAGATTCAAATATGCTAATTTTACTGGACAAATGAGTATATATTTTGAATAATCTCATGGATCATTTGTCCTAAAAATAAATTTTATCCTCCTATCCCCACACACATAATTGTATATATACACATATATGTATATATATACATTATTTATGTAGGGATAAGAGATAGGGTGTATTAATAGGACAGGGGATCGAGTCTGTCTGGATAATATATTTATTGAAAAAAATATATATATATAGGAATAAATTAATAAGTGATCACGATAGCTCTAACGTATAATTGCGTTGCTCATATCAATTAATTTGCATGATGAGTGAGAATATTGAAGAGAGAGAGAGAGTTGGCAAGAATGCATGGGGGTAGGGTAGAGTGAGAGAGAGACAATAATAATAATAATAATAATAATAATAATAATAATAGGTAATTTGCATGGCAGTTGACAACTAGCATGTTTTGTCTAGGAGCGAATACGTAATGTAATGCATGTGCCTCTCTCTTCACATGATGCCTTCTTCCTTTTCTTCCCTTTAATTTTCATTTGTATTCTTCCCCACTTCCTCTCTTCTTATATTCATTCATAATTCCCACTCTCTCTCCCATCCCTATCCCTATTCCATTCTTCCACCATGAACTCCTCCTCCATTTTCGCCCTCCTCCTCCTCCTCGCCGCCGCCGCCATCGCCGCCAACCCAGAACCCGACTGCGGCCCCTGCTCCCATCCGCCCATTGTCAAGCCGCCGGGCGGCGGATTACCCAAATTGCCCCTCCCTCCCGTCGCCGGATTACCCAAATTACCCCTCCCTCCCGTCGGTCTCCCTCCAGTCGGCGGATTACCCAAATTACCCATCCCGCCGGTGGGTGGATTACCCAAATTGCCCCTCCCTCCCGTCGGTCTTCCTCCAGTCGGCGGATTGCCCAAATTACCCATCCCGCCGGTTGGGGGATTACCCAAATTGCCCCTACCTCCGGTCGGCGGATTACCCAAATTACCCCTCCCTCCCGTCGGTCTTCCTCCGGTCGGCGGATTACCCAAATTACCCCTCCCGCCGGTGGGTGGATTACCCAAATTGCCCCTGCCGCCGGTGGTGGTCGGCGGAAACCCGCCGAAGAGCAAACTACCCTGCCCGTCGCCTGCGGCGGCGACCTGCCCGATAAATGCGCTGAAGCTCGGCGCCTGCGTGGACCTCCTCGGCGGCGCCGTACACATTGGGGTGGGAAACCCCGCCGAGAACAAATGCTGCCCGATTATCTCCGGCCTGGCGGAGGTGGAAGCCGCCCTGTGTCTCTGCACCACCATAAAGCTGAATGCTCTGAACATCAAGCTCTCCGTCCCCATCGCTCTGCAGCTCCTCATCAGCTGCGGCAAAACGCCGCCGCCGGGGTTCACTTGCGCCTTCTAGAACATTCCAGTTGAGTTTCAGTAGCTTAATTTAATTTCAGGAATTAGGGTTTTTGCTTGTGTTTGTATGTTTGCTATATTATTCTCCTTCCCGTTCAAATCTATACTCACTATTTTTGTTTATTTTTTAATATTAAAAAATCATTATGTATTTTTTTTATTATAAAATAAAAAAATAACTACTTATTATTAAATTTTATTAAAATTCTTATCCGATCAAATAAACGCCCATTTGCACGATAGACGTAGTATTATATTTGCAATTAATTGAGTAAATTAATTAATGTGGATAATGATATGGTTTATTAATTTATTTGATTATTTGTTTTGCAGGTTTTCTAGATAGATTGCAATGATAAGGAAATGTGGGATTGTGCTATTTTATTTTATTTTATTTTATTTGGGTATTCGTTCTTGCGTTGTGCCAATTCTAATTTAATTGTATTTTTATTGGAACTTAAGTTGCTTTTCGCCATTGTTGGATTTATTGTGTGTAAATTTGTGATAGTTATGTATGTACGTACGTGCGTAATTGTTTGCTGCAGACATGGAAGCAATGAAATGAAAGGGTCATGCTTCTTCTATTTTATTTTATTTTTTAATACTCTTCGTCCCATAAGAAGAATACAATTTTTTTTCATTTTTGTCTGTAAAAAAAAAAAAAAATACAATTTCCTAATTTAGTAATTTACTACATACATAACATAATTAATACCTTTATAACTTAAAATATATTACACAAATGTCATAATTTTTTTATCACACAATCTAATAGGGGCAATTTTGTCTTTTTTACTATAAACTAATATAATACTAATATTCAAAAATCTATATGGAAAGAGCAAATGTTACTCTTTTTGCGGGATGGAGATAGTATATAGTATATATATATTTATTTATTTATTATACAATCTTTATGCTCTTATAAACAAATAAATTATTTGTTCAGATCTGCCACGCATGGTTTGGCTAGTGCGAGTTGCCTTGTCAGACTTTCGACTAACGACTGAGGATTCCCACGTTATAAAAAAAAAAAAAATTATTTAATTTTACCAATATTACAACAAACTAAACACACCCTTAATTTAACCTTTTTTTTTTTTTTTTTGATCTTATCATGGAAGTTGTTTGTATGCTGAACGAAATTATTCATTATTGAACTAACAATACTTGAAATATTGACATACAACACATAAAATATAAATCAATATTATAAACTTTGTATTGATATATATAATACAAATGTAACACATAAAGTAAAATATGACTATAATCCACACAATATATAATACTATTTTCGTTCGATTTTAAAAATTTTACTTACTTTTTACACGTTGATTTTGAATATTAATAAGACGACATATGTATTTTTGGAGAACACTTATGTTGTGTTATTTAAGTATATATTTGTTGTCTTCTTTTTATGTGATGACAAGTTGTAACTAGTCTTGTCCAATCATATAAACTTAATTCAAGTCCTTGAAGTAATTATCAATTTTGTCTTTTTTTTCCAAAAGTCTCAAATCTTACAAATTAAAATAGTTGTTTTTAATTAATACATAGTTGAAAAAAATTAAAGTACTTTGGGTTCATTATAAATAAATTTTAATGATAATACGAGTGTCCATAATTTTTTTAATATTAAAACTTTGATAGATAAAATAACAAAAACTTACTCCTTCTGTCCCATATATATAATATTATATTTTTTATTTCATTCGTCCCATATTTAATGTTATTTTTTTAAAAAAAAATGACACGTTTTAATTATATTTTAAATTTTATAATTTATATATTTTTTAAATTTTAATTAGACTAATTAGTTATTTTAATTTTAATATATAACTATTTATATTATATATAGTTAATTTCACTAGTATATATTTATTTTTATTTACTAATCATACCTTTTCTAGATTTTCTTATTTACGGTAACTATGACTATTATATCAGATAGGGAGGGGGGGTAATATTTTTAGATGTCTAATTAACCAAGAAAAAACCTTTTTATTTTTAATAAATTTCATAGTTAAAGGCACCATTATTTGTATAACAATTCAAGGTATAATATATTTGAAAAAAAAATTGATTAATTTATTTTAAATTGTTTAAGATGTGTTTGTTTACATTTTGATATTGTTTTGATATTTATATGATCATAGAATTATTAAGTATGATATTTTGAATGCATAATACATGTGCTATCTTCGATTTTTGTAGGAAAAAAAAAGAGTGATTGAATAAAAATAGAAATGAGCGCAAAAAATTTGTAAGAAAATTAATTTATAATTATTTATTTTACAAAATTCATATAGAAAATATATATGTATATATATATAGGGAAAATTGCAAACAATATCTCACACGTATACCTCATTATCACTTTTGTCCAGTATTTATCTTTCTGGTAAAATATATTCCACATGTTTTTAAAAGTCGTTATTTCCATCCTTTGACCGCGCGTGATTGCGCGTAAGGGCGCGTGGTGTGAATTTCACGCGCGAGAAAATGACATAAATAACGACTTTTGTAAACATGTGGGATATATTTAGCCAGAGAGATAAATACTGGACAAAAATGATAATAGGGTATAAGTGTGGGATATTTTTTGCAATTTACTCTCTATATATATATATATATATATATATATGAGAGTTCTTGTTTGCATACATATCTTAAAAGTTTTGTATGTTAGACTTTGAATAGAAGAAAAAATTAAAAGGCAAATTAAAAAACTTTAAATAAAAATAATTAAAAGTCTAGTCAAATTATCAATTGATTTAGAAGTGAACTTACATTAACAAAATTCTAACCTTCAACCTTAATTTTCTTACTAAATCATTAATAAGTACGACAATTGTTTAATTTTTTATTAAAAAAAAATTAGGTACAATCAATCAAGTTGATCAATCCGAATTAGTAAAAAATGTTTATTGTTAGCAATCAAATGAAATGTAGTGAAAATAGCCATTTCATAGTAATATTTTAATTAAAAAATTAGGACTAGTATAATATTTTTTATTGAAAAAAAAGTTTTAATAAAAAAATTTATTAGTGCTATTGTGTGTATATATATACTTTTAGGTTAAATAATTGTTGAAATAATATTTTATATGAAATGTATGTTGGATATAATATTTTGAAAGAAAATTTAAGATATTTGAACAATAATACTCCCTCCGTCCCGTATACCGTGTCTGCTACATTGTAGACACGGTATTTTATAAGGGGTGTAATTAGTAGATAATTAAGAATATATTAGTGAAAGTAATTATCTTATAATATAAATAATTATAAATTAAGATTAAGATAACTAATTAGTTTAATTAAAATTAAAAAAATAAATTAAAAAGTTTAAAATAGATTAAAATGTGTAATCATTTTCCAAAAAAAGGAAAGTGACATGGAACGTGGGATGGCCAGAAACAACAATATGAACATGATATGTGGGACGAAGAGAGTAATAATAAAAATGTAAAGTCATCAAACTTCAAGTATTATTATTTTTAACATGAAATAATCAAACTTCAAGTATTTCATATCAATATTGAATGATACTCCCTCCGTCCATTTTCTAATGTCCTATTTGATATTTACACGCATTTTTAGGCAATTAAGATTTTTGTTATAAAATGACAAATTTACCCTTAATCTTGTATATAGAAAATGAAAGTAAATAAAGTAAGGGTAAAAAAATAAATTTTGTGTATAAAAATAGAAATAGGACAATAATTGTTAGACATTCCAAATAGAAAAATAGGACGTTAGTTTGTGAACGGAGGAAGTATATTTTTAGATGAAAATTGGGATATTGATAGTGAAAAACAAAAAAGCGATTCAAAATGAACGGACGAAAAGATTGACAGCTAAAAAGTGAGATTTGTGTGGCGAAAGAATAGAATCGAAAGAAGCCAATTCAAGACATGAATGAATGTATGGTCTGTCGTCGAATATATATATATATATATATGTCGTGGGGACAATTCCCATGTTACATTGCACATGAACGTTGTTTGTCTTTTAACTCGTCACAATACGTGTGGTGCCTAAATTTTACGTTCATTTTTGCCCCTAAGCTTAAATATCTTTTCTCGTTGCGACTCATGTTTGGCTATTATTTGCACTCGCTGTCGTCGTGGTACAATTACCACAATGTGTACAATAAAAATTGTCGAAATTGATATATTTGAAAGAAATTTGTAAACGAGGTTTAATTTCTTATTATATGGTAATATCTTCGCAAAAGTTGTCAAAATAATTCAATTAATTAGAATTGCAAGTCGGATTTTAAAGATTAAGTTCGATGTTTGTCACGCATGTAGTAGTAATATACAAAGGTTTTGAGCCAAACCTTTGTTAAAAGTAAAACAAAATGGATTTGTTTGGTTTGTATTTGGATTTTTTTTATTATTATTTTGATTTAATTAGTGTCATAAATAAATTTTTTTTTTTAAAAAAAAATATATTATATTTCTATTAAGAATCTTATGAACTGAATAGTAAAACTATTATTTTCCAACTCAAATCAAACAAAATTATGTGTTTTTTTTTTGTGAATGTCTTATAAGATTTTTATTATTCAAGTTTTTTTTTTCTCAAAATACATAAATAAATAAATAAAACAATTATTTTTTAGTTTTTTTATATTATATTATATTAAAAATTAATTATATATTCAAAATATCATATCAATATCTATTTATATCACATAAAAATTATTTAAATTTAAATTATTTAAAAATTCAAACCCAAAAATCAAATCCACGAACAAACACAAAAAAAAAGGTTTAATCTTTTATTTTTCCCACAGATCGATCATGTTTCTATAAAAACTATTACTCCCTCGGTCATTCAAATCTATTTTCACTTTTCTTTTTTGGTTGTCATCCAAATTTATTTTCGTTTCATTTTTTAGTAAAAAAATACCACTTTTCTTTACCAAAAAAAGGTAAAAAATTTTATTCTTACATATTTTTCTTAAAACCCGTGCCCGGTCAAATGAGCACACAATTAGATGACGGAGCGAGTATAACTTATAAAAATTGGGCTAAATTTATTCTAAATTAAGTCAAGTTACTAAACCTAATAACAAAATAGTCCAACACGATTTTCATTTTGAAGTATGGAATGGAGTGGGCTTGGGCTTAATTTTAATGTAATATTTAAATAACAAGTAGTTAAGATAATATTTCCTTAGTCAATTTTACTCTTACTTTTAGTGTTGTCTGCTAAATTTACAATGCCACTGTCTTTTGTTACATTTTTTCTTTTTAATTTTTAAATTTTTAACCTACTTTCCAAAAATATCCTCTATTATTTTTTTATTTTTATTATTTTTTTTAATAAAATATTTATTTTTCTTAATTTTCGTGTCGGACCCAAATATTCTAACTTTTGCGGATAGATGAAGTATTAAAAAACATTATTGATGAATATTGCAAAAAGAATATTAAAAACATAAGTAATTAAACCGAGGCTTAATCATGGAGATGCATGCCAAGAAAGAAAAAAAAAATGCTTAGATATATTATTATTATTATTATTATTATTGGTAAAGACAATATGTAATTGGGAAAAAATCAAA